GCCAATTTTACACAATACAACTCCCTGCCCACAAAGCCAAATAAAATACCCTAGTGAGGATTACTCGAGGGCAAGCGCTGGCAGAAGCTGGGCTCAGGTCAAACGTGAAGAAGACTGGGTTCTTCAGTTCTAAAGCACAGAGCCGATTTTGGAGAAAGCTTCTGGAAAATGGAAGATTTTCGATACTTCGGGAGCGATATAGCCGCTGAAGGTAACGTGGATCAGGCCATAAAGGCAAGGAACAATAGCATTGCTGAAATGAAGGGAGTCCCTTCATCCAGGCTCGAATGATGGGAGATGGTCCTGCAGGCTGAACGCAACTGGATCAGGTAGAACCAGTATGTCACAGCGGTCATGCAGACTGCCCTGTCCAACTGAAGATCCGAAACAGCCACCACGACGGTATGGACATGTGCTAAATAGGCGACAGGATCACCCGATAAAGAAGAACTTCAACCCAGGGAAGCGGCCACGAGGAGCCCTGAAAATCGTGGGGGAGTTTCATAAAGAAGGATCTCAAAGAAGTAAAGGCCACGGCCAAAGATACTTTGAAAGGACCACGTGGCCACGTCTGTGAAGCAGACTCTGCGACTGCGCGGAATAACGCTAGGGAGAAGAAGAAGAGTTGAGGAATTTTCGAAATTAGCCTACCAATATCTGCAAGAGCCCTGTTGAAATTGGCGGTAATTCAAATTTCGATCAGCCATGCTAGCAAGGATGCCAACAAGCTTCAGACAAATTTTTTCGGATCAAGAATAAAAGTGTTGCCTTGATTTTTAGCATAGAAAGCATAACCAGACTATGATATAGGATCCACCAGCTGCCAAGGTTTCAAGCGTTGTCACCATAACTTCCTGGCTCAGCACTTTCTAGCAAGTTCCTCCATTTCAAGGAATGGAATTTACGATGAAGCTCTGTAGTCGAATGAAAGTTCCTCCACTCCATGCCACTGACGCCCCACAGTCCCCATTGGGGCCTTACATTGGAGGGGCAAGAACGGATAATAGGTCTGGGTAGGGTTAACCGTCCGTTGTTCAATTGCCAAAAATCTTACGACCCCTCGCCTTTAGGGGCGTTTGGATACGACCACTCCCACCATCCATCAGCCTTAGGAGAGTCCTCCAATGCGACCCCCTTTCCCAGACCCGATCACTGCACTCACCATCATGGCTGTTTCTATACATTTGATTGTGAGACCAATCGACACAACCCAACACCGCCGCCCACTTCCACTTTCTCCTAAAAAAGGTCGCCGAGCGGAAGCGGAGGGGGTGGGGGGTGGTAAATATAATAAAATATGGTAAATATATCTAATGAATAATGGAGCGGCAAATGGTCTTAGTTTTCACAATTCCACATCTGCTTTTTCGAATTTCTCCAGAGCCCTCAAACCCGCCACTCTACCGTAACCCGGCCACCCTAACCTTCCAGAAATACGAATTCTTTCTAACCTCTTGAGGCTAAGACCAACTCCCAATCAACCCACCCCCCCCCCTTTACACCTGCCTCGTGAGAATCGGTAACGCACGGTTGACCTTAGATATGGATGAGCCTGGAAATGCACCCTGTGTTATGTGCATTAGTCAATATCTCTTCAGCAGCTATTGAACACACCAAACACTCACACCTACACAATGCATAGAGTTCGTTTGATCAAACACCGCCAAGTAGACAGAAGAGACGCCTGTCTTCAAAAATCGCACACTGCGACAGCATCGACTTATTTCACCGAAAGACCCGCGCACGGACCTATTTATATATTACATTAATAAACTAACCAGATCCCGTCAGAACCTCAATATGATAGCAAGAATAGGATCTAGTTTTTCATACGCATTCAATTCATCGATTCGACATTTTATACGATAAGATCTTTAGAGATGGATAAGGACGGCAAATCCTGAGCTCAGTTCTCCTCTGCTCATTTCACTGTAGATACATCGCCGATAATCAACTGGCAACTCTAACTTTGGATTCGTCACGAAGCTTCCTCCGATTCAGATATAAGGCAAATTTCGGGAATTATTAACCTCTGCTCTCCATTTCTACGCTCGCGGTTTTCCACTGTTTGCTCGTCAAATCCGAAATACAAACGACCATTTCACTGGAATCATTGGATTGCGTAGGTGTCGAACTGTTTATCAAAGCTGCAGAGGAAATCTGGATGGTTCATCTTTATCAGGGTTTGATCATGCCATTGAGCAAAAATTTGATAAGAAATACGACCGTGGGTCTGAGGGTTCAACATTCCACTTCGTCATTAATGGAATGGGCGGCTCAGGAAAGTCGAGATACCAGAAAAAACCAATTATGGTAATACCGCAAAAATCTCGCTTTGTTTGGATAAATATCCTCAAACGATTCTTACGTCCCCACCTCAACGTTCCGAAAATATGCTGCCTATTCCACCCAGTAAAACTCTCCGGCAGAAAGTCAAATGTGGCGCCCTATCGAAGATCCTGAACGTTGACACACTGCTGTTTACATCTATACAACGAATTGTATAGATGTGAACCCTTTTTAATGGTGAAAGATGCAAAACTCAGCATAGGGCGTGGAACTTTACTTCTTAACTTTTTTTAGAACCTTTCGAAAAAAAGAAAAAAAAGGTTTTCTGCATTTAGCCAACCTCAACCCTTTATGCTTATAGCTCCCAAGTTAGACCACAAATGGACCAATTCTATTCTATACACGGTTGGTTGGCAACAACCAGCACACACACAGGAGATACAGATGTGAATAAATATTGCTTGGTCAACCACACACCACAAATAACTGATCTGCCTTCTGCTTTCTGGCCTAAACATCATTTTTTAATATATCTTCATACATACTATAAAAGGAAGCAACAAGCCCATCACCCGGCCTCCCCTGGAGAACATAAATTCAGGAAGACCTTAGCCTAATCGTAAGAGCATTTGTTAGCACTACAAACCAAACCTAACACTAGTTGTTTTGTTATGAAAGTTTGAGCGCACCGTACTCCAGTCAACACTCACACCCCCACAATTCAAACTCATCAAATCCAAGACAGAGCAGAAGACAAAAACAGAATATTGTGCCGTGAAAACATGCTATTATTATCAAATTTCCCCCTTAACAAGTAACTTCTCTATTCTACGCTACACCCTTGTCATCCGATACTTTCGCAATCGGTGTGAACGTTCTCACCAGTACAGTTTTTGTCATCGCTGGTATTCTTGCCTGTCAGCCATCTTTCAGCAATCCATCAAGTTCTCTCATTATCAGCGCCGATATTGTGGGCAACCGCTGCAGACAACTCGAAATAATATCGCTGACCTTGCCACCGCACCATATCAACACACATAACACCACATTTGTGGCACAGCCAATTTTATTCGTTATTCTATACACAATATAATCATACAGATGGATTACTGCCACGACAAAATATGAATACATAGCTCGTTGTACCATAAAATGGACATGACTATATATGGTCAAAATCGAAGACGACGAGAATAATCGCTTTTTCGCGCCCTGGACATTAACCATACATACCCAGTATGTGAAAAGTGATACATAAAGGCAGAGCCGATAAGAGAAATTTACCCATTTCAGGAAGGGCATCAACACGGTAATAGCTATTATGTCCAGATCAACATATTGAACGCGTAATCGAGACAATAGAAAGACATCTAACTACAAAATATCATCACAGTAGGGCGTTTCCCCTGTGTGACCAGCAATCACGAGAAACCAACGCGCTGCAACTGGGTCTCGAAGGCGCTTTTTCGTTAAAAACTATTTTACAACTTCCTCAGCAAGAAGGTGCGAAAACACAATAGACGCCCGCATCGAGACGCAATCACTACCACGGGCTGGCTAATACACGAATATGGTTAAGGTACCTGATGCATGAATCACTGACGATTGCAACCGAAAATGAGTTAAACGAAATATAAATACAACACACAAATCAATAAACCAAGAATGAAAGAAAAACGAATACCAAATGAGAAAATGGAGAACAATTGCCGGGTATAAGGTGGCAGTACACCTTTAATGGACTACAACGTATAGGTCATATATTAACGCACACGGAACTTGATGATTAGAACCATTAACAACGTAATCATGAAACAGACACCATTTCTGACAATAGCGATTCGCTATGTCCGAGTGCGATTGACATCGCAGTGATAAACACTAAACAAATTTGAGCCTCATGTAGTACACGATGATTCCATTATGACTATTGATCGACACTTAGGACATGGCAACGCTACGCGACGGATACACGCTAGATGAGGCAAATATGCCATATATGACGTCTATTTCGATTATTACGACAGCATTACATGACCCCTAGGGTTGTGTATGAACAAACTGAAAGTAGCTAATTGACTAAACTTTTTAAACTTGATAAATTACCCACGGACCTCTTTAGCTTGTCATAATACTTGAACTAGACTATAATATTTGGAGAAACATGAGATACGACTAAAGCACAACGGTACACCGATTAGACGGTAAAAACATGAGCAAGTGTACATAAGTGATATCAAGGAAATGTGCCCGTAGGGCATGGCAAAGGGCCGCGACTAGAGGCGCCAATATGGGAAGGGAAGAGGTGGGATTAGAAGCGCTACGCGTGATAAACACATGTAGCAAATTCCAGTGATGATTAAGATAAAGCTATCACAAACAGAATGCCAAAACAAAATGGCTTAAATACTACTAAAAAGTGAAAGTCTTCAGTTGAGGGGGAGGGATGTGCGCAGTCGCGAGCGCCCTGCAGACTAAGTTATAAGCTCGCGCACTACCCGCCAAACAAAACGGCACAAAGGCATAAGAGAGAAAAGCATCCGAGATGCTGAACAATGATACGACTAAACATACGAGAAACACGCAGGGCGTTTACAACAATACAGAAATGGAAGTAAAGTCAAATGTATATCTTTCGGATATAAGACGAACATTCATATTTTGAATATGTCGTTGCGAACTACAAGTACGCTCTACAATCTACTCGTTCACTAATTGATACGCATTGAACCAAGACGTGCTGCAAATATTTCGGTGGTACCGAACAGATCATAAGCGCGCATAGTTGGTGGAGGATCGGCAACAATGTCTCCACCGTTAGGAGCTCCACTTGTGTTCATTGGTGGAGAAATACGGTCATTCAATGATGGACTGATACTGTCCAAACTTGGCGGACTGGCAGAACCACCGCTAGCACGTGACAAACCACCACGTCCTCCACAAGTGCAGCCGCATGTGCATGTTCCGGAATCGGCACGAATTGCATCCGTTTGGACCGCTGCATTCACCAGTATCTGCGAAGCAACATATAAAATTAACAACCAACATAGGCGACCGAGTTTGATTGCTTCAAATAAAAGATACATAAAAACCAAAGCATCCCCTTCCAATTCTTTCCAGGATTTCTTGGGCGATTCTGAAACTACTACTGAATGAAATACCTCTGCAAATGAACTTCCTACGCGCACGTTAAAGGTGCTAATAAACGAAAAACATATCGAGCCACTAAAACTTTCAAAGTACAGTCAGTCGCGTGTAAGTTACGCTGCACGACACGTGAAAAAACAAATGAGGTCGGCTTTTTCGTATTAACAAATCTTTACTACTGCTCATTAACACACCTTGTTCTGTCCGATTGTGCCACCAGCGCCCGGCGCAGACCCAATAACACCTGTTACTCCCCCACCGCCATTCGGTGGTGCGGGGGCAAGTACGCCGCCGCGTTCGCCCATCGATGTCGAGCGTGCTGGCCATGCAGGCGAGAACATAGGATCGACAGGACTCCACTGCTGTTCTGCTGGGCTATGCAGGGATCCAATAGTCTGAAAGTACAAACATGAATAAAACGCAGCACATCACAACTCCATGTGATCATACCTGTGGCATGCTGTTCCTGCTGTCCCATAGAGACACAGGGCGACCGCCAGTCTGCACCAGCGATCCGCCAACGGCTGCACTGCGATTATTTGAAAGTGCTTGGACCAGTGGCTGATGAGCAGACATTGAGCGTGCAATTGGACGAGGACCGTATCCACGTGCAGACGATGGACGCAGCACGTCCAAATCGGGGAAATGCTATAAAAACTTTGAGTGATGTAACGAAGTGTGGGCTACTTGTGATTTTCGCCACTCAAGCAGTCACGTACCTGCTTTATAAAACCGGGATAGTCATAGTGAGGCAAGTTACGGCGCACAGATACGTAAGTACGGTTCGGGAACAACGCGAAAATCCATGGGTGACCAACAACGAGATTCAGAAACTCTTGACGACCTGAAATGAGATAAACGTAGGAATTATCACTGCGTATGCCTGAAAGCGCCATTAGACATGGATGAATACGAATTTCGTTATGAGATCACATGTAGCGCAACAATACGCACTTTCTCCAATTTGTTCGCGTATCTCAGGAGCCATCTCTGGTCCAATGAAATAATCGTAAAGGCTTTGAATGGCAGTTGCACCACCACGACGTAAGAGATATGATGCAAGACGAAGAACGCACAGGTATACTGCTGGGTTCTAAACAAAAATCGTTGCTTGGGTTAACTACGAGCCTCATTTGAAAGTCAGGACCTGTAATGCAATGTTGTCCTCTGGTGTGAGACGGAAGAGGTGAGTACGACGTTCGACAAATTGGCGGCGCTTTAGAGATGATGTACCGACGTAGCGAAACAGTTCGTCATCCGCGCAGTTCGACATCTGTGAATGCAGGCTGAAAAAAACAGCTGTAGCCATTACTACGACTATCCTATAGTTAGGAACATAAAACTGATGGGAGGAAATCTATTTCCAATCCATATTCCCAAATGAAGCATATTCACCACCCTTAGAAAGATCCAGTGTAACCTACCTGCTAAGCTGAATTTGTGTAAGTGCATGACGCTGAAAGATGGCCAACAGAGCTGGAACCGCTCTAGCTTCAATCACTGGTGAATAGGCGTCCTTCGAATTAGGTGGTGTAGGACATGCCTTCTCCAAATCTACCTCAGGTGCATTGAGAAACACTTGCTCAGCTTCCTAGAAAGTAGTACAATGAATTTGACCCGCAAATGCTACGAAACGCCATGGAAGTAAACAAAAGTAAAAACAAACCGGCCCATATAATGGATGCACTAGTGTGGCGGTGTACTCGTTGGTTTCATTGAGTGACGCTTGGAATGAAAGTGTAAAGCCAACACGGAGCACAGATGTGAGATCCGTGAGCATCTTAAACAAATCAGATATTTCTTCTTGCTTCTATGCTTCATAAGTGGTTCCCTAACAAAAAGCATTTGTGCGTACCTGATCGCAAAAGTCCTTTATCTGGAACGATATGACCATCTTGTTCTTGCAAGTTATAAGGCCAGCCTTGCCCGATAGCCAAGTGAGCTGTCCATAACCTTGTATTGATTCGGCTTTCGGTGTATGTAGTTCTAACTGATTGTGGTTTGCCATATACGACGCATTGCCGCCCAGTAGGCTGCTCATTGCTGGCACTAAACCTTAAAAACACGTTACAGCGAAGTTCTCAATCACGCACCCAAACAACGCCACACTCAAATGCCTTCGAGACGTTTCGCTATTCATTTATCGCTACAACCAGAAACGACCTCTCCAACAACGGGTTGCTGTAGCTTTTGATTTACTATGCGCATCCAAGTTTCTTCAAATGTGACCACTGCCTAGCGGAAGGATTAAAACAAGTCACAAATATATTCACCTCTATATGAAATCACAAACCTGTTGAGCCTCCATATGTTTGTACGCCGCCAGAGGACCAGATGTTGTGATGTTGATGTTGCTGTTGAGCGAACATTCCACTTATTTCATACGCCATTTTCGACTCGTTCGACAATGTATCTTCTTCTCGTCCTAGCTTGAGATGGTCCAGTGAATCACAGTCGTCGTCTACCTCACGTTCCCATAGAAACGACGCCTTGTCGCCAAAAATACGATACCGGATTAATAGGAATTCGAACAATCCCAACAATCAATACGCAACCAATTATGTCGACGACGTAGAACGTGTGATGAATGAGGACAAATTTCAAATTAACATCGATGAGGAGAGAACTCTTGAAAAAGCCAAGTCGGCACTCCACCATGCAAAATGACTATAATTCCACAAGAACAGAACCAAGTCTCCAAACCTCGTACTCACCTAATGACCACCACCAAAGTTATAGAGATTCGCTATGCTCTCCGCCTACTCATAGAATTCACATTAGACACTATTAAATATCGGATATGAAGCATGAATGTTAGAATATTCCTCACAACAACTTCTTTCACACCGCCAATGTCGATAAAAAGTGAATACAAAACGGAAAGATTCTTAAGGAAGCCAGCAATCTATAACTTTCCACTCTATGTAGGTGAACGATGTTAATGTCCCAACCTAGTAAGCACATTTATCAACATCACCCAATGTTTTCCATGGCCCAGCTTCCATACAAAACGGCAACGAGTTTATAAAGCACAGGAAGTTACAGAAAATGAATAAAAATCAAATGCAGAGGTCTCCTTCATGGAATCAAAGACCTTACTGTTTGCAAAATTTGTTAGATATATCCCAAACTTGAAACAAATAAACACTGAATCCACATTTCGATAGCAGTCTTTAACTCGCAATCCATGCATAACAAACCACTAACAGCCACCTACAACGTCTGAGCTTTCGACATCGTGAAAGTAGTAACAAGCAAGGGCTGATAAATGAGGTGACAGCATTTGTAGACGAACCGGACACCACGATAAGCGCACTCGCCTATGGACTCAATGCCCACCAACATTCATAGCCTTCAGGGAATACAATTGCTGCAAAGACACAGAATATGTGCCGTGTCATCCAAGCATTCCGGTACTGTTTTTTCTTAGTATTAATCATTTTTTTATCACATTACTTCAAATGGACAAGAACTCCGCTGTCCCAATTTCATTAATTCTGCAATGTTTGTAGAACACGAGCTTATATTGTCTGAGAGGGCGATGATTCTGGAGGGATGCTGAGTTCTCTGAAAAAGCCGATCCTGCTTCAACTGGCTTACGTTAATACCTACTATATGATAACCAAAAGGTAGGAATGATCAACCAAATTCATTTCGCGTAGTTGTGCCATGCACATCAATACACCGACCAGATCCTTTTCATTGAAGAAAGGGAAGATACTCAAACACTATACCCGAATGAACGAAGGCAATTACTTCTGATCCGAATCCATGGAAATATTTCCCGCTACTTCGATCAAAGGCAGCAAGAATTACGAAGCTAATGTACCATACATAAGTATGGAAATTGGTGACTGCTCAGCAATTACTACCCTTACAAAATGGGAAAGCAACAGTGCTCATGACGCATGCCTTGGAATACATGACAAAACACACTTGACGCAATGACGCTCTGTAATTATGACACAGATGGTGAGCGATACGGACGGAGAGACCAGTGACCACTAACGACGTCATCGTCGCCAGTGATATCAAACAAAATGCCGGCAACAGACCGATCCCGATACCACAGAATGCTAATTCTGCATAGAGAACTGCACGCAGCAAGGCAGCGAGTTGCCGAACAGAACAGAGGATGCTGATCGATACGTCGCAACACACATATAACCACACCCACGTTCCGAACCCAAATGCCTCCAAGCCGAGAACACATGGTGAGAGCTCTGAATAGAGTGAACGAACTAGCTAACTACTAAACGAAACCAGCAGCGCCTAGAAACCTAGTAAAGAGCAGCTAGCAGCCTAGAATAACTCAATATTTGCCACTAACACCTAAGTTTTTCCTGTTGACACCTCTACAATTTACTATCAACGCTCACATGTCTGAGGCCATTTCAAAGATAGGACAAACAATACAAGAATCTTCCAAAGGCCACCAGGTCTGTTAACAAACCACTTTCA